GTTTTTTCCATCGGGTTTTCCTCGCGATGTGTTCTCATAAATATTCAGGGTGATACCCTTACCGCGCGAGCTTAAACTTTGGGATATTCCACTCTAGGGAGAGACCGAGAAATAAACAGGAATGAGTTGCGCCGCCACGGCGAAACCGTATTTCCCTTTACGTAATGCGCGTTCTCATAAATCTGAGAATTATTAATGAACGCGCTTATGGCACCTCGCGCTGAGGCCCCATCTCTCAAAAGCTTCTTCTTCTTCTTCTTTCAATTCCCATTCGAAGAGTCAATCAAATATCATATTTCATAAAAATATTCTGCATTTCGTTACAAACGAAAGCGCGTTTTGTTTTCCGCGACAATTCCGTTCTTTTATTGATACTCGACATGCAATTCCGGTTTCATTAATAAATTTTCAACCGAGAAGACGACGCGCTGACATGTCAAAGGACGATGTCGGAATGTAACGAAAGATGTTGTGCGCGAAATAACGACTCGAGATATCGGAATTTAAGGTAAATGCTCGAAGTCGAGTCTCTTCCGGTCTCTCTGCCGCAAAGCGGGGTGCTATATAGCTACGAGTGCTTCAATTCGGTGCGGATGCACTCTCTCTGTGCCGCTTACGGGCGCTTGTTCGAGAGAGTTGCGTTCGTTCGGCACGTCCGTAAAACGGACAAGTTTAATGCGGCGCAGTCGCGCGATTCTCTGAATGAAGTTTTTCTAGTTCCGGAAAATATCCGCACGTCGTTATATATTTAATCGAACAATGTGAAATAGTTCACACCGCGACACATTTCCGATCCGCGCAAATGAATGAAATCTTTTTCTCGCCCGGGATACGTTGCGCAAAATTAATTGTTTACACATTTTTACACGATTATTTATAAAATTTATAAATCTTTCTTCAAATATTCCTATTATTTCCACAAGCGCATTTTGTATTTTTTTTTTGTTTTGTCACGTGATTAAGCGAATTTAAATATATACAAAAATGTTCTTCCGGTTTTTGTTTTCTCGCGAACAACTTCTCACACGATCGCGTAATCGTCGTGAGAGAATTTGCGAAAGAGACGTCCAACAAAGGATCGTTACGTTTCGTTTTTATGACAATATTTTCTGGAAACGCCGCTGTTGCAAAAAGAAGAGACACATCGCGAATCAGAGCTGATCGCATCGCCGATAAGTGTTGTCTGTGACAAACCGTGTCGTCTCATTTCCGCGCGCGTGCACGTCGCGGTATTCAAATGGATGATCGGCGCATCATTTTACACCAACCGATGCCGCATATGTGTGTCGGCTGTTTTATTGATCCGCAATCCGGCTGAACGACGCACTGAAAACTGTTTCGGCATTGTGTTCCGCCTCGGCATTAAACCCATTCACGGTCGTAAATCCGATTTCGCGCAGCTTTAAGTGCTGACACGTCTCCCGGAATCGTGTGACCGTATACAAATTTTCTCGGTTATTCTACGTGTAATTTCGGAGACGTGCAAATAATATAAAATTATAAGAAAGAAAAAAACATCATTTTCATCGTTTCTTCAGAAAACAAAATTCTTTCAAACTCGCAATAATCGCGATATTAAAGCGTTTGATATTTTTCGTGTAAATACGCACATGTGTTACCTTTTGAAAATAAAAAATTGTTTATTTTGTCTCATTTTTATTTAATTCATATCTCGTCTGCGCTCTTGATGTGTCTTGCTCTTTTCCCAGCTCGTGGTTTTTGCTCTCTCTCTCTCTCTCTCTCTCTCTCTCTCTTTTATTTTTCTTTAAATTCCGCGATCTTTTCCGGAATCCACACAAAAAAAACCCAATTATATTTAACATTTATATTTAACGTTCTTTTCATATTTACACGCGTTCTTTTTTTTTTTCCCCATTTAAATAAAGATGCGACTTCTCCGCGTCGCTCGGAATAGAAAAAAACCCAGGGGCGAATATCAGCTCGCGAACATAAAATACGCGGAGAATCCATTCAACGGGAAAACGCAGTCGCGCTTCGGTTGGCAAACACGAAGAGAGACCGGAGACGCGATCGGGAAAAAGCGGTAATTTCTTTCAGAAAAATTACTCATTACGCTCCAGTGTAGTGTCGTCCGTTTCCGTTATCGCGTATAAATTTCTCGATGAAGGCCGATTTGTCGCCGATATAGTTGACCTCGTTTTCTTCTTGCTTCGCGCGCTATGGCGAGGCGCCGCTTTTTATTGCATTTCTATATTCGTGAAATACAAGCCGCGATTGGATCCTCCCATTCAATATGCGTGACGGCGAGATCGGCTAATTATTTCGTCGCGCTCCCGCATAATACCTCTTAATTACAAAGGGTTTTTCTCGCTGCGCTATTTCGCGTCGTTAGACACGCGAGAGAAAAAAGAGAGAGAGAGAGAAAGAGAAAGGCCATAAGTCACTTCAAAATAACGATCTTCTCTCGATCGGATGGTGACGCACAATCGCTATTCCGATACATTTGCTGGTTTTGTTAGAACATGTGTGTGTGTGTGTGTTAATTACGGAAATTGGCGAAGTAAGAAACGAAGTTAAACTAAGTACTTGTTTTTATGCTTATTTACTTTTTTATCCAGAGAATATCTCGGAGACATTTAATTTCACACGAGCGGACGACGCGAATTTATGTTCTTATCACTCTTATCTGTTACCCTCCACCCCCCCCTCGCGCGATCTTCGCACTAAGAAAATGAAATCACACACACACACACACACCTCGAATATACAACCGCGCGGATTTTCATTTGCGATCTAAATCATTTCAAAAAAAAAAAAAAAAAAAAAAAAGAGGAAAAAAAATACGTTACAAACGACCCGAGACACGCGATTTGCGCGTCTCGCGCGAAGTCGTAATCCATCGATTTCTCGTATCTAAAGCCCGCTAAGCTAACTATACTTTTTGTAAACAGAAAATAAACGCAGAAGAATAAAAGCGTCGCACAGGCGCTCGCGCGCACAAAAGACCGCGTGATTGCCCCTTTTAAAAGAAACGAATTATAGTTGGACGGGGTATCGAGAGATAGTTTCGCGAGCTCTCGGAGTCTCTCTCGTTACTTTCTCTTGTTTTTTCTTTCTATCTTATATCTATAGAATAAAAAAAAAAAAAAAAAAGAAACAGATGTCGTTCGTTTCACGTCACCTTGTTCATTTTTCACGGAAAACACATTGCGGCCGAGCGCGACGGGTCAAACTGTGGTTGAACCGAATGAGACACAGAAGACCTTTCTGATTCATGTTTACTCTCGCAATTAGTTCGCGAGCGTAAATGGATTAGCAATCTGGTTAAAACCACCGCGGCGCGCGCGCGCACGCGCGAATGTTAAATCGCGAAATTTCAAGCGCGCGCCAACTTTCTCGGAAACTATGTGCGACACGGTTAATTATTATCGCGCGTAATGATTTTATTAATTCGAAAAGTGCGCGCACGCGCAACAAACACATTCTGATCGAAACTCGACTCAACTGTCGACGATCAATTACGTAACATCACAATCGCGTATGATCCCACACATATCTCTGTTTACAACGTGTTAGATACACGATTGGGAATGTGTGTATTACAAGTTGCCTAGTTGGCAACTAGGTCGGACTTAAATGTGCAAATATTGAAAATTCGCGTCGCGAGATGAAAATAAACACACCCGCGCGTACGTTCCGCGCGTGGCGAAATATTTCATACCGCGTTCAGATCTCGTGAAAAGCGGTGACATCAGGGTTTGATTTTATGAATGGCGTGGCCGATTTTCCCCTGTTGCTTTCTAATAAAGACGAGAACTCGTCTCCCTCGCCTCAATCAGCGGAAAGAGGATTATGGTTACACCATAAACACCTTAAATAGACTACAACGTAATCCGAACGATCTTCTGACGTCTCTGTAGTTAGAATCGTGGAATCACACGGATCAGCAATGCGGATTTCGTTCTCAAGGAAAATAAAAAAAAGATTCGAAATTAAAGGAAAAACAGAGTATACGCGAGAAAGAATCTATTTCGCTATTACACGAAACAGAGCGAGGAAGAATTTTTTTTCCGGGTTCTGCTGAATTTTTTGTTCAATCAACATTGCCAAAAGAAAATTCGGTAAAACTTGGAAAATTTTCCTCACGTATTTTCCTGCTCGTGTGGCACAACCAAATCTTTTTCCTAAGCAAAACTCGTTTTGAAAGAGTCGCACCGCAAATATAAAAAAATGTCTATTTTGCCGAAGAGGTTTCTGAAATGTGTCTGCGGTCGAAGCCTTTCGGATTCTTCTGCCCGGTGAAAAGCTTTCGCACAAAAGCGCACGCAGAAGGAAACAATACGATTTTGCCTATAAATACCGATAAGTAGAAAGTTCTCGTGTTACGGCCGACGTGGTATACCGGTCGACCCTGTATGCGCTTGTTCCACTGGCGAACAACAGCCCTTCACTCTTACTTTTCCTGCGCGTATCGCAAGGCGCGCGGAGGCGCTCGGCGCCGCGCGGCCGCCGCCAACAGCACCGATGCATAAGCGCGTGTGACCGAGTTTCGGCGGAATATGATCGACCGCGCGAAACTCGGTCAAAGACCACCGACACCTTTTCCGCGACTCCGCCTGTTACCGGTGAATACGATTCGCGTGAAATTTTCAGCGAGTGCGTGGACGAAGAGTCGGTGTCCGCGCGTGCGAGAACGTTTTTGCGACAGTAAAAAATAAAACAAAAACATGGAAAAAAATTGTTGAACACACGTGCGGACGCACACAATTTAATTTGCGATAGAAACGCCGCTCCTTTCTCGCGCGAACATTTCGCACGAACGCGCACGAAAGAGATATATAAAATAAAAAAAAAAAAAAAAAAAAAAAACAATTACATAGTCTGTTACAAAAATAACGCGTGATATTTCGTTCTTGAGACGATGTGTGTGTGTGAATAAATCTCACGGACATAGACGCGCGTAAAACCTGAAATAACAAACCGTCGAGATGGGGAAACGATTTTTGAAATCAATGCGGTTTCTTCTACTCTTGTTGCAGATCAAAATCGGCCGAAACGAAGAGACCAGACTATGTTATTTCGGATAACGGATTGATCGCACTCGTCGCTTCATTCACACGTAAGTACGTCTCGTTGTAACTACGTTAATCCGTTTCGAAGAGGAGAAGGAGGAGGTGGCGACTCCATTTGCGGGAGTAATTTTCTCCTCCGGTTTATTTCGGCGTGACGTTATCCGGCCTAATAAACTTCCACGAATTCGTGTATTACTTTGATTTGAAAATGTGTGAGTGTTTTCCGGCACACACCGGCTCTCCTACAATTACAAATTATGTCAAGTTGCACACGTATGACCGTCGTGATCTTGACTATCTTTTTCGCCGTCGACTTCTTCGTTACAAATTTACACACCGAAAAAAATACACACACACACACACACATTACACACAGCGCGTAATTTCAAAACAATTTATATCTGCTCTCCACTGACACGTCGGGATTACGTTATCTTTTGATCTTATCGCAACGCAACGCTTGCTCGACTTCCTCGCAGGTCGGACATGAAAAATCTTGGTTCGCGTTGGACGGTCCCCGACATAGCACGCACTGCCGCAGCGCGTTCGTCATTTCTCGTCGCCATTACGTTGGAACGAGATTCAGGTAGCAGCAGCAGCAGCATCAGTAAGAGCAGCAGCAGCAGCAGCAGTATCCGCAACAGGAACAAAGTTAGAAGTAGCGGTAGCAGCAACGGCAGTAGCAGCAGCGGCAGAAGCGGCAACTGTAGCATTCGCGCGACGGCGAGGAGCAGAGACAACAGCGGCAGATCGGCAATCGACGTGCTGCACGGAGAGCATTTATCCGTCCGATCGTACGTAACGGCGCCGTGTGATCGCATCGTCGGCTCGACGCGACTCGCCGAATCGACGATTTCGCCCGGAAATCGGCCGCAAGTAGTCGGGAACAAATCGCGACACCGGACCCGTCGAAGTCCCCAGAAGCAGCAGCAGCACCAACAACTCCACTACCCCCCCGCATCGTGGGACACGCGCACACTACACTTCAGGAACTGTTAGCACCGATCAAAAGTGAGTCTTTGCCGCCCTCCCCTCCCCCCTCTTCCCGTGTATATGATAACCTGCTCTGCCTGCGCTTCGCTTTCCGTTCCTGGCGGTGTCAGTCTTTGTTTTAGTCGAAAACACAATCCGACGAAGTTGGTTGTGTGTTTATCGCGTGGCGAATCAAATACGTTTGCAATATAAATTTCGGGTCGCGTATTGATTGGTTGTCCGTACAAGGCAAACGTCCCAATGACCCCCAAACGTGTGTGACCCAATGACATTTGTTGAAGAAATAATTAGCAGACACGTAATTAAAATATAGTTTTAATTATTAATTTTTCCAATTTTTGCGTTTAACTATAACTTCCAACTTTTACATGTGTGCAAATATTTGAGTTTACAATTTATTTCTTTAATAAATGACCCGGTCTACGGTGCTTGTCCGGTCATTGGGACAAGTTACCTCGCTACTTTTTGTCGATCTGTTTGAGTTTGGTTTCTGTTGTTTCTTTCTTGGTTTTTCTATGTTTCTCGAACGTGTTGTGTCACATTTACTTTGTGTGTTTCTTTTTCCTTCGTCACTGATCGCGACTTGCAACCCCGAACAGGAAGGTGGCTCAGCTGTGCGCAGCCTAGACAATGTCCGAAGATTCTGACTCTCTATCAGAGGAAGAAAGAAGTTTGTTCCGTCCGTTCACGCGGGAGTCCCTGGCAGCGATCGAAGCTCGCATCGCCGAGGAAGAGGCCAGGCAGAAGGAACTTCAGCAGAGAAGAGAGCAAGGCGAGGTATGAACGCGGCCTCGTGCGCTCGTCGCACACACATACTCTCTCTCGTCGCGTACAAAAAAAAAAAAAAAAAAAAATTTTTAACATTCTCTTCGCGCATTAACTCTACATCGATTTGCAATTTGTCATGTGCGTGCCCCACATTATAGGACGCCCCTTCAAAGTAGCGTCAAATAAATTACGTCGTCGACGATGAACTACGTTCAGGTATTTTTTCGATTGTTCGAAAGATCGCGAGAACACACACTTTTCAAAGTCACGTGGCAGAAATTTCTCAAGAGATATACATATTACATATTTTGCGCATATAAATGTTCGTTGTGCACACACACATACACACGCTTTTCCGACAATTGGTGTCACACTATTTTTCAAAGTTGTTGCTGTAAATAATTGTCGTCAAAACATTGTGGCGGACAACATCGATTGTAGCGATTGAATACATTTATCTGACGCTGCTGGATTCTTCCTGCCAAGTTCGTATAAAGCGATTCAAACTTTAACTATTCCCATGTAAAACCACCACTGTCCTTTTCGCAAGTGTTCGTGTGTGAATATACGAGGCGAGTAATTTACGATTCTTGAAATAACAGAGAAGTAACGTTTTCTTTTCATCTAATCTGGACAATATTTCATATATTACACAGGTCACTCTATGGAAACTTACTTGAGAGTTCATTATTTGTGGATTTTAGTCGATATAGCCTATTGGCGTTTGTATAAAATGCGCTAAAAGAATTACCCCACTACCAACTGCTCATACTTAAGATTTTCTTCTTCTTATACGAAGGAAGTGTGATGTTGAAAAACAGATAGCAGATAATTTTCCTGCAATAATAATAAATACTTTATTTATTTTATTTTTTTTTTAAATGTTTTTTCTTATAATATTGCTTTGTCGAAAAAACAATCGTAATTAAAAGAAAATAGTTATTAATTAAAAACGTCGCTATAAGTAAAACGAGATAAAACTACGGTCTTGGAAAAAAAATACCGGAAGTAGAAAATAACAGCCCCACTTTGTCCGAGTGCAGTTTATATCAACAATTCAGTTTAGTCTTCGAAAAAAAATCGACGACGAAAAAACGACGGATTAAATGAGGAAACTGACTATCGATTAGAACGCGTTTGATCGCAATGTCCACAAATTCGAACGTTTTCGTCTGTTACGAAGAAAGTCTATTTGCTTTATTGTATTTCGCGATATATCAGATACCGCAGAGACGCGCGCGCGCGCTATATGTTTACTTTCTACATCTGAACTGTCAAAACTACGCGATATATTTGACAGATTTTTCAAGACGCGCAAAAAGCGAGCCGTGAAAAAAGAATTTATCGCGGAAAAGAGGAGCGACAACGAAATCAATATTCGAGATCAAATCAACTCGCTTGTTGACAAAAATCTTAAGTATGAACAGTTTGTTTGTTTGTTTGTTTGTTTTTTTTTTTTTTTTTAATTGTTTTTCCCACGCCTAGCTGTAGCGCCGTTTAGCGAACTCTCTGTTCTCTTCTTCCAACAGTTTTAATTCCGTTTCTCCCCCTTTCAACACCCGATTGTCGCGTTGACTGTTCGCTTGATACCTATCGCTAAAGTAGTGACGATGTAAAAACTATCTCCACCGACGATTATACGTGTATATATATATACCCGTTTCTTGTTCATATGTATGTACACACATATATGTGTCGTCGATATAATACTGTGTGTGTGTGTGTTACGAAAGATATGTCACGTACCAAGCTCGATGTCTCTGCAGTGTCACTTTATCTCTGTGCTTTTTTTTTTTTATCATATACATATATATATGTATATAAATTATATACATACATGTGTACATTATTTATACGTGAAAAAAAAAAAAAAAAAAAAAACTCGTATACAAAAAAAAAGCGAATGTAACGCGCCAAGCTCGATGTCTCTGCAGTGTCACTTTATCT